TAAATGGACGCCACCGTGATTTCTCCCAGGAGCGCTCGTCCCGGGGCTTCCTGAGCCTCTGATCCGCTCTCACAACCCACTGGGGTGAGTTTTGCTGCGTGTCCCACGTGGCCAAGCCACAGGGCCGCCAACAAATCTTCCAAGGAAAGCTGAGGGAAGTCAGTCTAATGCTTCTGAAGCTCCAGCGGTGGAAAAAAGAGAGGAAAAGGAGGCGGGGGAATGCCTTTTTTTTTTAATCCTCTCCAAAGAGCAAAAAGCACACGTTGCCAAAACGTCCCTTTCCTTTGAAGAGCAGCTTGTAAAATGGTCACTTCTGATTTTAATGCTCCTGCGCACTTCCTCCTTGCAGCGGGGAGGGCAGAAACCCTGGAAAGCCAGTGCAAAACCCTTGCCAGTTTTACAGCCTGGCGACGTCTGGTTACACGTTAGCCAGCAAGCCTGGGGGCCAGCCGTACGGGCAGGGTACCTCTAGGCAAACTAAGGTGTGGACTCCCAGCGCGGTACCTCCTCCGTGGCCTTGCTTTGCCCCGGGCGGAGGGCGTCAAGGGGCCGACCTGCAGGAGTTTCCCAACCCGGCGCGTGCCCGGAGCTGCTTCGCTGCCCCGGGACCGCACCAGCTCCTGGGACTGACGAAGCGATGGGGGTGCTCGGGGTGGCCCCGGGGCTTGGCGTCACCCCTCCGTCTTCCCCTTTTTGCTTGGTCTGGCTCTTCCCCGCGTCCTCGCTTTGGGGTGCCGAAGCAGCTAATTGGTGGCTGAGTTGGTGGCCTCAGGAGCTTCATCCTGAACGTGCTCCCGGGCAGCAAGGACGGGAGGTTGAAACGTAGGCTCAGGCCAAAGTCTAGCAGCGTGGTAGCAAGAGGAGGATGTAAAAACAGCACTTTATAATTATATTGGTGGCAATTTCGCAGAACCTTGTCCAGGACAGAAAGAGGGGCAGATATCGCAGCAGTATTGTTGGGAATCTGTTGCAGCCAGAGCCACTGAAAGGCACGTTTTATCTGGTAAACATCGTAAAAGGCAACGGTGATAAAAAACCCTGGTGCCAAAACGTTGGTGAAGTCATTCTGAAAGCAATTACTCAGCCTTACCTCGCATGACAAGGCAACCCTGCCCGAAAGCCGGAGCCGCTGCCTCCCTGCTGCGCCGCAGGTGAGATGTGCAAGTCCTGGGCGCAGCACCCGCCCAGCACCCAGCCCCAGCACCTGGGCCAGGCAAGCTGGGCCGCCTGGCGCGCCGCTCCCTGCTTCCAGAGGTTACCCCAAAGAGGAGAAGGCTTTCTTTCGGCCGTGGAGTCGTTTGGAGTCATCTCCAAGCCCGATGAGGCTGAAACTCTCCACCTCGCTGTGGCAGTGTGTTGGCTCTGCCTCAGCCCAGCTCCCCTCCTTGGAGCTTCTTTCTTTTTCTTGGAGCTTCTTTCAGTCCTTCTGACCCCAGGGGTGAAACCTCAGGGACCTGCACCTGAGGGTGTTGGGGGGCTCTGGGGAGACGCCTCGTCTCCATCAATGGCGATGGTGCAAGGTGAGGGTGCTTCCGGGGAGATATGAGAGCAGCAGCCAGCAGAACCAGGGCCCCTACTGTCCCGTCTTCCCTGTGCTTCGTGGCCATGCGAGGTTGCAAATGTGACCGTCTGGTGGAAAATGAGTTATCTTGAGGCCTGAGCTGACCCCCCAGATCATGCTGTTGCTGGAGAGGATGGTCCTGTCCACCCCAGACTCTCCATTCTGGGGCATCGCAAATGGTGGTGCGGCCGTGCGGGGAAAGGGGAGAGGAAAGCAGAAGCCAGGGATGGTCCTCAGCTGGGCGGGCAGCGAGGAGGCAGAGCCACCCTTGCGCACTGCAGCCAGCACTTAGCACCGACCGTCAAACCACCGCCATAGGAAGAGGAGCTCGACTGGAAACGGCACCAGTGAGATCTCTGGGTGATTTTATAGACGGCGAGTGTGTAGCCTGATGGTTAACTTATTCTGGGCATGTTTGAACACATGCGTCTGCCTTAGCAAGACTCCCTGGGAGCGACGCTGGCTTCCCTGGCCAGGAGCCGGGCCCTGCCTTCGCTCTGGTGTAGGCAGGGGACCCGGGGCACCAGGGCAGGCGGTGGGAAAGGCCCATCTCTGCTGTAGCAGCTGCTGCATGGGGACCGGACAGCCCAGCCCGTGCTCCGGCCCAGCTCAGACCTGGGCTGCGCTCATGCTGGCATCAGCAGTGCCAAAGACCGTTCCTGGCTCCGATGATCGTCCCCCTCACTGCAAACCAGGCTGAGGAGCTGAGGGGAGTCCAGATGGACGTCTTCGCCTCTTCCTTCTGCTGTAGAAGTCTCCAGGGAGCTGTGATGCGAGGGCGCTTTGTCATGGGTGGCAGGATGGTACCTGAGCACCTGAGCCCAACCCAGGAGTTATTTCTTCCTCCAGCTCAGCACGGTCTCTCTAAGCCTCTGTCTCCTCTCATTCACACTATTAACCTTCGCGCTTACCCAAAATGAAATGAAGGGCACAGGCGGCACCTACCACCCATTCGACCCACTCTAGGGAAGCTGACTCCTATCTATTTGAAACAGTAAAGAAATGTGGCCGACCCATATGCATACAATAGTTTTTATTGCAGCTGGTCGTCTAACAGGAATGAGGAAGTCTCCTCGGAGCCTCAGAGATGCCATTTGTCCTTCGGGGATGGGGATTTTCTGTCTGAGCTTGAAGGGGGATGTCAGAGCTTGCACCGCTTGCAGGAGAGGTTAAAAAGCTGTTGTTTAAGCAAACCTGGACCCATGCAGCCCCTGGTGCAGTGCATAACAGCTCATCGGGGCGTGTGATTTGCCGGAAGCGGGGATTTTTAAATGCATTTTGAGAGTACTCTCATTATTTTTAGGAATATAGGAAGGGACAATCTAGGTCAGACTGCAATTCCAGCTAATCCAGCCTTTTTCCTCCAGCACCAGACAACATCAGGCTTTTCAGAAAGGTGTTTCCCAAGCAAGCTGGGCAGTTGCCAGCTCCCTGGCAAAGCTGCTTCGTAATCCTGGATAAAATAGAGTGGCCACAGTCAGCTCATGGGACAGGCTGGAGTGGTGCATCACTGGCTTGCTCGGCAGCATGGATTTGCACCTCTTGTTGGGACTCTCAGCCTCCATGAGAACTTGCAACGGTGAGCTACACATGCTAATGGTAAGGAAAGTGGGTCCTTTTCCAGCATGTTGCCTTTCACTTGCATGGATTATCCCCCTGAAACGAGCAGCAGTCAAGCAGCAAAATGGGAACAACATAAAAAAGCTAGTGAGCTTGGGGGAGTGCTGGAAATTGATAACGTGATAAGGGAAAACATCTCACTCAAGAATAAGGTCAGTCAGGGCACAGAGTTTCCATGCTGCGGCCATATCACCTAGAGTAGCCTTCATCCTGCTTTTAAGTGGTGGCTGTAATCTGCTTGGGAGACAGAGTCAGACTTACAGATGTGGGAGCTTTGTGGGTATCAGCATCTGCTCCAGCCAGATCTTGCCTGGCTGAAGCTTTCTATGCCCACCTGTGGGACTCAGCTCCTTCCAACTTGCCAGAGTGAATCCAAAATCCAAATGAGACTAACTCTGCCACCAGTCAACACAATCAAAAAGCACATCCTTCAACCAAATAAGATGACTCACTCCAAGTTACCCAAAGAGCCCCCTGGATGGAGCATAATGCATGAATGCCACATGTTTCCAGCGCGGACAATCATTCATCAGGAGGAGGAAGCTATCCAACACAGCACTACACAGAGTGGCAAACTCGCCAAGCATGCAGTCAACAGGAAAAAGTTCATGACAGCTGATGAACAAGATTGTCACTGAGGGTATTGAGACCTCATCGGGGATGAAATCAGCAGAAGAACATGAGCCAGTTCACATGGCTGTTTGGTTTGGTTGGTATGTAGATATCTCCTGTGAAAACGTCGCATAAACTACAGGGAGTGAGGAACACCATCACCATCAGAAGGTGGTTGCTTGAGGAGCTGGTGGAGCCCTGACTGGTGTGCATTTGGCTTTTGTGGATCTGCTGAAGTCTAATAAATATGCAGATGATGTATTTTTAAGCACTGTGGGAACGTTAATATGGAGTAGCTTTCTGTCCTCTACTTAGCTACCTATTTGCATGAAACTTCTGGGGTTTGAATACCTTTGTGACCTCTACTATTTTATCAAATTTGGTAGGAAGGCACCAAAGTTCCTGGAGAGGAAACCCTGGACAGACAGTGTGAGTGCATAGATCACAGGAAACCAAGGGGAAAAAAATGCAGAAGGGACACTGGGCAGAGTGAGTGAATGTGGGGAAAGGGCTTCAGAGAACCTTAAGAGAAAGATGCCGATCGAGTCCTGTCTCTATGGCAAAGGGGTCCTTGCAGTGCGCAAGTCTCCAGCGCTCAGAGCTCTGCTAAAGTCCTTGCCAGAACGAACAGCCCCTGCCACAAACCTGGCTTGGGACAGCTTTCCAAACTGGTTCACCCCATCCTCCCTCGGCAAAGATCTCTGTTACAACACGAACCTGCCATCACATGCAGCCGCTGTGTCTTCAGCGGAGGAGAGGCCGCGAGCTCGTCGCCCAAGTCCTCTCAGAAATGCTGCATGCAGCCAACAGGGGATCTCCTTCTGGAGACGGAGCTCGCTCTAGCCAAGCTGGGGGTCTCATTGAAGCCACCAGGACTAACACGTCAGATGGGCTTCCCGGGGTGGTTGAGTCCTGGGGGTGCCCAGGGACACGGGTGCAGGAGGCTGCCGTTTCCCCGGGGATGGCGCAGGAGGAAAGCAGGACTCGGAGGAGCCGCTGGGAGCAGCCAGGGAAGCTGGGTGCCCCGAGGGAGCGGAGCCGCAGCGAGTGGGCGGCCCGAGAGACAGCGCCAAGCTGGGAGAGGGAGTGGGAAGGAACCAAAGGTATCGGTGAAGAAAGACAGGGAGAAGCTGGGAGTGGCGGGGGATGTGGGAGGCAAGGAGACAGGAGCCCAGTGAGTCAGCACGGTGGGGTACCTTGAAACCCAGCAGGGAAGCGCATATCGTTCAGGTTCTGCCACAGCCTGAGGAGCCATTTTCCCCCAGCTGGCACCTCCTCTAGCCCTTTCTTGCTGCCCAGCCAAGGAAAGCAGGTTGCCCTCCAAATTGGAGAAGCTTGTGGAGCCACTGCTATCTTCTTCATAGGTACATTGGTGTTGAGCCGCGCTGGCTCCATACGCTGCAGTGAAGTGATTCCTAATGTAACCAGGGGAACTGCCAAAATCTGGCTTGGGAGCACACGTCCAATGTCCAGGATTTGACCCTGCGGCCATGCTTTGAATCCAGAGGATGAGGGTTATGGACTTGTTCATGGCGAGTGCCTGATATAGTGGCAATGGTGCAGCGGTGGAGCTGACAGCTCCTCCTGGAGAAGGTGCCCCTGGAGGTGATGGCAACCCCTCTGACAGTAGAGCTTGCTCCCTGGGCTCTCTCAGTCCTCGTGACCCTGGGAGAGAAGCATTGAACACCCATTTGGCTGGACCGATCCGAGGGGCACGGTAGTGCAGATGCAGAGCCAAGGCAAACTGACTCCACCTGCTGCGTTGCCTTTTCGGTTCAGCTATGCTGGAACTGCCCACCCCTGCATCCGCCGCCGAGCATCTCATCCCAGTGCCAGCCAGAGAGTGACTGCAGTCCTCCTGGTGCGGCGGCTCAGAGAAGTTGCTCAGTGCCAGCACAGCCCCTAGGCGAAGGCACGGGGCACTGGGCACAAGTTAAGATTGAGCTCCCGGGGATTTGGGCACACTCCTCTAACGAAGGCTGCAACACCGCTGTGGCTGCTGTGTGCTCACACACACCTTACCGAAACTGAGCTGAGTCACCCCAAGTGCTTCAGATGCGTGATGGGGTGTGGGGCAGAATCAGAGCAGGGTGGGGTGGACAGGAGCATCCCCCAAAATCACATCAGCTCTTTAGAGGCAAGTGCTCAGCGTTGAGACGAAGACTAGAATTGCAGGTAGAAGGGAGGTACGGACTGGAAGGAACTTGTGCTCAGGCTGATGTTTTTTTATTAGAGCGAGGGGATCTTTCCTATACACTCTGCTGTGGGTTTTCAAGCCATTGTCTTTAGATGTGGTCTCTGAGACCCTTCTGGGAAGACCAACTAAAGCCAGGCAATTCTCGGCAGGCTAAACTACACTATACAGCATGCTGGAGCACCGCAGGACAAGCCAGGGAGGCTGCAGGTTGGAAAAGGTTGCAGACAAAATACTCTCCCTTATCCGAGCTTCCCTTGACCGCAACATGGGTGTCTTCCTTCTGAGACCCCTTCCCTCGCTGCAGCCCAAGGCCAGGTCGTCATGGCTCTTCCAGCTGCTTTGCATTGCTGTGCCAAACCAGGTGGAGACCCGAGTTCAAGTGGTAATGCGAAGGCTTGCTCGGGACAGGAGCATTTACATAACGCGGTCAGACTGCGAGCCCAGGGCTCCCCGTGGCCTCACGGCGTGCTGTTTCAGGCGCTCTGCAGAGCCCAGCAGATGAAGATTCACCTTCCCAAGCGTACGAAGTCATGGCCTCCCTCACACAGCTGAGCATAGCCCATAAACTTGCACAAATGCACCCATCCGAGCTCTGCTGGGAGCTAGAGACTCAAGGCTCCAACGTTGGATGGAGCCATCCAGGGTCTCGTCTTCCTCCAGTCCTGTTTGGCTCAAAATGACTGGAAAACACTGGAGAAGGGGCACGGGGTGACTTGCTGGTACTGTGCTCTCAGCCCAGCCCTTACCTCGCGAGTGGGGCACTGCCACATGGTTCCCGCGGGTTGTCCGTACTGCTGTCCCTCCATTTCTGCTCGGTCAGAGCAATGCAGCTGGATGATCAAGCCGTCGCCTCATGCCCACCCAGGCGGTGGCCCTCCGCCACACTGGCATGTGCCTATTTCTGGAGCTGCACAGCGCTGATCAAGGTTAAAAATAACCCAGGCAAGAGAGAGAAAGGTTATTTTTAACTCTGATCAGTTGTCTGTCGCGCAGGCACAGCTGATGGCATGATGTGGAGTTGTGATGAGCGGTGGAGGAGTGGGAAGGCATTGGTGGGTCTCCCTGCCTGCTGTCCCGCGGTGACGCGATGCCAACAGTGGTGTGGGGTAACCCACCGCTGGCCAGTTCCCATCTCTGCTCTGCTCTCACTCTCTGCACCAAAGCAGGGTGGAAGTTCATCTCCATGCAGTTTGTCCCTCAAAATCCCCCGTGAAGGGAACTGCGCAGCTCCCCTGGGTCACCGGCTCCTGCTCCGCTCGTTGGGAAACTCCCCCTAAGAGGCAACGAAAATCTTCCCTGTTTGCAAATGGAACTGGAGCCTTCTCATCCCCCAGCAGTAGACCTCTGCCTTTGCCTGCGCCTTTTTGCCCCCTTTAATGTCCTTACGTCTCTCCCTCTGCCCCTCTCCAGCCCAGCGCCTTCCTTGGCTCTCTAAACCAAGGCTCTTGCTCTCAAGCACACTTTCTCCACTTTCTTTGAGGTAGTACATAAATCAGGGTGCTGGCAGTGAAAAGGAGCCCTCCAGCGAGGAACAGTCGCCAGTGTGTCTTCCACGCGGCCATCAATCCATCCCCACGCCAGGGGTTTGCTCGGGAAAGGGGGGGTGCGATTGCGACAGCATCCTGTGGCTGATTCATCACTCGGTCCAGTCTCTCTCTTCTCACTCCCCAATGATTTGAGTCAAATGAACCACATTTTAGTAGTCAAATCTGTAAGGGTGGGTCCCATTGTGCTTTGACCCTACAGGGCATTTTGTACATTTAATTTGATTTACACCCAAAACGTTAATTTAACACACTGGGTTTTCTTCCACACCCAACTAAGGCTCAAAATTAAACAAGATTCTACAGAAAGGTTTATAAGCCATTACCTCATTAGCATCATTATTTATTACGTAATTACAGTGCGCAGACTGTATGTGCAACGCTTCTCCGACAGCCGCATGGGGAAGGAGCCTGGCTGCCCAGCGATGGGTTTGTGGGCTGCCTCGCCGAAGGAGGAGCAGCCCCAAGGATGCCGCTTGGTGGCTACGGGAGCAGGGATGGATCAAGCCGTTCCTATGTCCCCAGCCTGGTCCCCGTTCGCTCCTTCGCGTGGTCCGGGTGCCGCGCGCAGCTTCCCACAATGCTGTTTGCAGGGCCCCGCGGTGAGCACGCTCCCCACGCTCCTCCGGGGCAACAACCACTGAGGAACGTTATTTTGGGGAAAGGAAGCATGGCTTTCTTCTGCTCCCCACCGCGGGGCTGCTGCTGGAGCGAGCGCGGGTTGGGGCGAGACCTTCTCTCCACCCCGTGCCTTCTACCACGCTGAGCACATTGCAGCCCTGACCGCTCGTTTAATAACTTAGTCCCTGATTCAGCTGAGCACGTAGCTGCGTGTCTGACTCGGAGCACCCAGTGAAGGCGAAGCCTGGGCTCCAGCACCTCGCTAAACGGGAGTCTCAGAATGGGGGCTGAAAAAGCTAAGAACACCTTAGAGTAGTCACAGCAAGCTCTTGCCTCGAGACGGGTGTGATGAATGTCGTTTGCTACCTCTTTTGGCTTAAAAGACAAGGAGTGGTTAAAATAAAAGAAACCTCAAGTTGAAAGCCTTGCAGAAATCAATTAAAACCCATGTAGTTATATTCTGACCTGGAGCAAAATCAGCTATAACAGAGAAATTACATAGCCTTAAAGAGAAGAGAAGGTTTTATATGTGGTGCTGGTGAGATGCCCCGGAGGCATGCTGAGGTCACTTTTCTCCAGTACCTGCAGATTCCCATAAACTCCCCAGGAAAGCAGAGGGAGCCTTGTTTGCCAGAAGAGGCCCCCCCCCTCCCACCCCCAGCAGCTGTGGTCGCTCCGAGGAGCCTGTCCTACAGGCAAATGGTCAGGTTTTAGAAGTCCTCCTGGGTGACCTTTCCCCAAGTGCTGGGTGAACTCCCCTGCCACTTTGGTTTTATTCTTAGTGTTGATGGGAGCAAAGCCAGGCCCCGTTCCTCAAAAGTCTTTTGGCTCCTGGGGGATGGTGCCTAGCCAGGGAGGAAGAGCTGGAAGTCTTCTGCGCAGAAGGTCCTGGCCATGCCCATGCCTCACTCTGGTAGGCCCTATCAAAACATACCGACGGGTGAGGGCTGCTGTGTCTCCTAGCTAGGATTTCTGTGGCTGGAAATACCAATCGTGTGGAGACACTTAGCCGAGAAGACCTTCCCAGTTGTGCCACCAGCAGCTCTGCCTCAGAGCGCTGCAGGGCCGGTGGGGCTCAGGCTCCTCCTGCACGGCCAGGGTCCTCAGGCCATGCTGCCCTGGCAATTCCTCCATCCTGAGCATCCGCACCGGAGCCCAGATCCAGCCCCTCTTACGGCCTGAGATCTCAGACCTACGCGAGACATCACGCCCGCTTGGTCCGGATGAAGTCTCCAACAGCCCTAAACTGGTGCTCCTTCCCGGAAGAGTCTGGATGCAGGAGCCAGGGACTTGCAATGCACCAAAAAGTGCTCTTTACCGTGGCTGGTGCATCCGAAGGCACCTCCGTTCCAGGGGCTCCAGAGCTGGCCCGAAGTAAAAGCTTCATGTGGAGGAAATCAGTAGTGAAACTCGCACTGGTTGTGGCCTGTGTTTTGCTCTCTGGGAGGAAAACAGCAATCTTAGGGGAAAATAACGCAGTCTGAAAGGTCTCTTTACGCGGGGAATCAGCTATTACTGCAGCCCCGCCACCCTGCGCAAGGGCTTCGGGCCAGCGCGGACACTAAGGGGAGGATGTGCTTGCCCAGGACGGCGCGGAATATATTTCCGCCTTGTTTAATAAGAAAGCTACGGCAATAACAGGCACGAGGCAGGAGGAAGAAGCCCCGACTGTTGTTAAATACTCAAGGCCACGCCGCACGCGGCCTTTGCTGCGCTCCCGGACTCCTGAGCCCCGTTCTGTGGGTTTTCCTCTCTTTCTTCCTCTGGCTCCCCCCTCGCCGTCCTCTTTGCTTTTGTTGAATTGCCCTTTGGGGAAGGGGGGGAAGAGGCAAATTAAAAAAAAAAAAGAAGGGGGGGGGACTGAGGCTTCGACACATGTTTCATTTCAAAGAAAGGACTAAAATGAAATAAATAAAGCCCTTTTTTTTTTTTTAAACAGAAGAAAAACCTGTC